AAAGTACTTTGATGTTGCCTGTTCAAAGGGAAGTAAGGATCAAAGATAAGAAAAGTTGTACTTTATATACCTTCTTGAGGACAAGGTGATTTACGTAAGCTGTTGGTGAATATCTGTTCAATTGTCCACATCACCAGGTAGATATTGTCATACTCCAGCATCTTGCATCGTAAAGTGACACGCCCTGAAAATTACCAATGACTATAATTATAATAATTTCTGATATTATGTATGGCACCATAATCATTATCGTCATCACTTCAAACAGATCACAAGGGAGGTGACAACATGCTTTGTCATCAGCAACATCACCTGAGTTGCTGACATAGATTCACTACCAAGCTATGTGCTATCACAACATCCAGCATTCTGATTGGCTACTGAACTATGGTATATTCATGATTTAACATGGTAGCAACGAATGAAGCAAAAATTAGTCATTTCAGTTCACTGGCAGATCCAGCACTACTTCAGCAATTTGCATCATAAAACAAATCCATGAAAATGAGCCATTTTGTTTTTATGATGCAATCCGTGAATAGTGCTGGATCCACCAATGCAATTATTTATTTCTCCATTTTTTCAATTTTCAAGGAGTTTCAGTGCCCTTAGAAATGGAGTTTCAATTCCAGCACTTTTCAAGAAGTTTAGGACCTGAACAAACCCTGTTTTTTTACAGTTATGTAAAAAGATAAATTTAACACCGTAAAAAAGTATGTGGAAAAACTTACTGACGTTTCGGATGTTAATCCTTCGTCGGAGTAAATCTTTACTCCGACGAAGGATTAACATCCGAAACGTCAGTAAGTTTTTCCACATACTTTTTTACGGTGTTAAATTTATCTTTTTACATAACTGTTTCTTTAGAAACACCGACGCAGCTCCCACTAGTTTACCGCTAGTTCCCACCTGTTTTTTTACATTGTTTCTCCATTATTTTCTTATTTCTTTTAAAAATCTCCCTCTTTAACTTGAGAACTAAACTACGGTATAATTACTATTAACTATTTAATAATTGTTATTAAATTAAGATTTTCTTACCATCAATAACATCATGAAGCTGACTTGAGAAAGCACAGACATGAGAGGTAAGGCAACAA